GTCCATTTATAGATAACTTCTGTTATCTATAAATGGACTGAGCATAGTGTCCAAAATGTCCTGGTATGCTGGCCCTTCACTGGAAGTAAGTTTGTTTGTGGTTGGAATGCAGTTCAACCTGGATTTGGCCAGATTACTATATGTACCCTACAATTCTGAACTAATAGGATCCCCTAGCCAGGTGCATACTTTGATGCTTTGCATACTGCATTGCAGAACAAACTGTAGTCAACAGTTTCTGGCAGAAAGCCGTGGAATGCTTTAACTCTTAATTCAATGGAATATTGTCCAGTAATGCTACTGCCACAACTACAACCCAATCCTAGCATTTGTTCTTTATTCTAGCTACCGATGTCAGCTATTACTGCAAATGTGCATTACTTTTTCTGCAAACACCACAACTGATAAAATGTATAGCAAAAATTTAGTTCATGGCAAAGAGTTTGGTGATAGCAGAAAATATTCAGGGGATAACTTGACAATACGGGGAGGAATAGTTTATTAATTGGCATGATTCAACCTGTATGTGTATCCCATTTGGCCTTGGAGAGTGAATTTAAGTGGTGTATCTCTAGGTCTGGCACATTTTCTTCCAGTGAGTACAGCAGCTCACAAAGTGCTGAGAGCTTTCTGGCTCTTCACTCCTCCCTTTATTAAAGATGCCTGTAGCTGCCAGCTCATTTGGGTTCAGTTCCTCAGGGAAATAGTTTGAGTTTGTGCTGAATGGAGAATTGCAGGGCTCTACTGAGGACAGTAAAAACACAGAAGGGTCTAAAAGTATAATGTGAATAATGTAACACAATGTTTTCCACTGGACTTTGGAATTATTGACTGACAGCAATTTTTTTTTACAAAAGGTGGTTCAAACTACCTGACTGGTAGAGTACTGTGCAAACACGACTCTAGTGCACCCTACTTTTTTGGAAAATCTAATAATAATAATAGTAATGTATGTTTTTGTTTGCATTTGACAATACTTAATTACATTATTTTTCTAAAAAGAAGCTTTTTGTACATATTTCAAAGATAAGGCAATAACGCACAGTGCTCTTTGTGGTAAAGAAGCAAATGCTAGAGATGTTCAGGAGTCACAAAATGCAAGTCCATGTCAAATCTGAAGTCAGTGAGTTAGAGTCTGAGTCAAGTCTGAAGTTTCTGAGGTAAGACTCTGAGATAAGTCTAATGTTTCCAATGCGACTATTCTAAGAGAATGTAAAGGTACAGTATAGTAGGTTACCACTGTGTCCCTCTGAGGTATAGACAATTAAGACAATGCTGAATTCTGTGAGGGCGTCATGGTGGTTCAGTGATTAGTGCTGTTGCCTCACAGCAAGAAGGTTCTGGATTCAAGCCCCAGCCGACCTGGGTCCTTTTTGTGCGGATTCTGCATGTCCTCCCTGTGCCTGTGTGGGTTCTCTCCGTGTACTCCGGCTTCTGTAGCAGTGAGGAAAGGAAAAGAGGCAGAGATGAGGATGTTAAGGTTCTCTTTAAGAGTGACCAGGATAGACAGGACTAGGAATGAGCACATCAGAGGGACAGCTCAGGTCGGCTGGTTTGGGGACAAGGTCAGAGAGGCCAGATTGAGATGGTTTGGACATGTGCAGAGGAGGGATAGTGGTTATATTGGTAGAAGGATGTTGGAGATGGAGCTGCCAGGCAAGAGGTCAAGAGGAAGGCCAAAGAGGAGATATATGGATGTGCTAAAAGAGGATATGAAGTTAATTGGGGTGAGAGTAGAGGATGCCGAGGATAGAGTTAGGTGGAAACAGATGATTGGCTGTGGCAACCCCTAATGGGAACAGCAGAAAGAAGAAGAAGAAGATTGAAGTAGAAGAACTTATCATAATGATGATGCTTTGCTTACTTTTTATTTTCAGTGATTTATTTATGACACCAAAGCTTGGTGGATGGCTGACATGTTTTGTATATCCTCATACAAGCATGGCCAAAAATATATAGAAGACATCCCTTCTCCCAGAAAATTGTTGCAATCACAAAATGTTTGGTATTCTCGTGTTTATTCCTTTTATTTGCATTGGATCAACACAAAAAAGCCACATTTGGTCCATTCCACATAGAGCTCCAAAAATAGCCTGGACAGAATTATTGACACCCTCAGCTTAATATTTGGTAGCACACCCTTTGGACAAAATAACTGAAATAAGTCGCTTCCCGTAACCATCAGTGAGTTTCTTCCACCTCTCTACTGGAATTTTGGACCACTCTTCTTTTGCCAGCTGCACCAGGTCTCTCAGGTTTGAAGGGTTCCTTCTCCACAGCTGCTTTATGGGATTTAGATCTGGACTCATTGCTGGCCACTTCAGAACTCTCCAGCACATTGTCTGAAACCATTTCCGGGGCTTTGTGAAGTCTGCTTTGGGGTCATTGTCCTGCTGTAAGACCCATGACCTCTGATGGAGACCCAACTTTCTGACACTGGGCCCTACACTGTGCCCCAGAATTCATTGGTAGTCTTCAGATTTAATAATGCCTTTCACATAGTCAAGACATCCAGTGCCTGAAGCAGCAAAGCAACTCCAGACCATCAGTGAACTTCCACCATGTTTGACTGTAGGGACGTGTTCTTTTCTTTGAAGGCCTCAAAACAACAGAATGACGTGCTTGACCAAAAGGCACTATTCTAGTCTGATCTGTCTACAGGACACTCTCCCAGGAGGATTTTGGCTTCCTCGGGTTAGTTTTTACAAACTCCAGCCTGGAATTTTCATGTTCCTGTGTCAGTAGTGGGGCCCCTTGGGTCCCCTACCATAGTGTCCCTTGTCATTCAGATGGCAACAGATAGTGTGAGCTGATACTATTGCACCCTGTGTCTGCAGGTCAGCTTGAATTTGTCTGGAAGTTGATCGAGGTTCTTTATCCACCATTCAACAATCCTTCGTTGCATTCTATCACATATTTTTCTCTTTCGTCCACATCCAGGGAGATTAGCTACGGCGCCATGGGCTGTAAATTTCTTGACAATGTTGCCCACAGTGAACACAGGAACAGCCAGATCTCTGGAGATGGACTTGGAGCCTTGAGACTGTCCAGGATTTTCCACTATTGTGGTTCTCACATCCTCAGACAATTCTTTGCTCTTCTTTCTTCTCTCTATGCTCAGTGTCGTCCACACGACAAAGGTTTAGTCACCTAAACCTGGGGTGGCTGTTGCTTACGAGGTAGGGCAGTCATCTCCTGACCAGCAAGTTGGTGGTTCAACTCCCGGTCTCCCTGCATGCCTAAGTGTCCCTGAGCAAGACACTGAACCCCTAATTGCTCCCGGTGGCTTGACTAGCACTGTTGTGTGGCAGCCTGTTGTCATCGGTGTGTGAATGGTGTATCATCTCCTGTAAAGCGCTTTGGCCAGTGCAACACACTGTGGAAAAATGCGCTATATAAATACAGTTCATTTACCTGATGCAGCCCTAATTATAAGCTTTATCAAAAAGGAAAGTCTTAAATCTAGTCTTAAAGGTAGAGAGGGCGTCTGCCTCCTGAACTGAGACTCGGAGCTGGTTCCACAGGAGTGGAGCTTGACAGCTAAAGGCTCTGCCTCCCTTTCTACTTCTGTGGACTCTAGGAACCACAAGCAGACCTGCACTCTGAGAGCCAAGTGCTCTGTTAGTATGATAAGGCTCTGTGAGGTCTTTAAGATACGATGGAACCTTGTCATTAAGGGCTTTGTATGTCAGTAGAAGGATTTTAAAATCTATTCTGGATTTTACAGGGAGCCAGTGGAGAGAAGCTAATATGGGAGAGATATGATCTCTCTTGCTAGTTCCTGTCAGTACTCTGGCTGCAGCATTTTGGATTAACGGGAGGCTTTTTAGGGAATTATTGGGACATCCTGATAGTAAAGAGTTACAGTAGCCCAGCCTGTCATCTTCACTCCTGTCCCCATTGGAACATTCACTTTCAGTCCTAGCCGGCACTGCTGTGTGACAGACATGCTTTGAGTACAATAACTTCAGTTTATCAGAGTTTAGAAGTAAAAAACTTACAAGTCATCCAGGCCTTTATGTCTTTAAGACATGCTTGAAGTTTGACCAGTTGATCAGATTCATCTGGGTTCATAGATAAATATAACTGAGTATCATCTGTGTAGCAATGGAAATACAGTATATGCTGTCTTTCCTGACATTATTGCCTAAGAGAAGCACAGAGCCCTAACTTTAATTTGACTGGAAGATTCATCATTAACATGAACAAATTGGAGTTTATCTTATAAATAAGATTTGAACCAATTTAGCTCAGTTTAATCCCAAAAACATTATGATGATGATGATAATGATTATTATTAGTAGTATTAGTATTATTCACACTAAACCAACATTATGAAAATACATTCTCCATTTCAACTCAACCTACTGGTCATCTTTAACTTTTCCAAATTTCTGTCTTTCCAAAACATCAGAATACAGTTTTTGCCTAATCAAATCAAAAAATCAAATCAAATTTTATTTGTATAGCGCCAAATCACAACAAAAGTCATCTCAGGACACTTTACAAAGTAAGGTCTAGACCTTACTGTTATCAATATTATTACATAGGGAAAACCCAACAAATCCCCCTTGAGCAAGCACTTGGTGACAGTGGGGAGGAAAAACTCCCTTTAACGGAAGAAACCTCCGACAGACCCTGGCTCTTGGGGCGCGGCCTTCTGCCTCGACCGGTTGGGGTGAGTGGATAGAGGAGAGACAAAAGAAGAAAAGCAACAAGACATAACAATCAAACACTGATCAGGTCGATGTAATAAGTGATAATGATTAGTCTGCTTATTTTTTATTTATCCAGATTACAATTTGGTATTGAATTTAATAAACATAAGCTTGATTACTGGCAGATGCATTAAAACATTACTAAAATGTGATTCCAAAAACCCAAATATGTTGATAAAGGCAAGTCCTTTGTTGGTGTTAGTTTGTATATGTGTATATGTGTTACGTGCTGTTATTACATACATCATGATAATTGCTTTCTTGTTCTGTTCTTCTTCTAAGTGGTGTGTCACCTGCCATGTATAAATGGCGGTAAGTGCAGCACCAGAGACAAGTGTCAGTGCCCCCCCAACTTCACTGGAAAATTCTGCCAGATGCCAGTTCAGACAGGACACCAACAGCACCAGCAGGCGGCCGGTGGCTACAGCCAAACTGAGGTCCACTCTACGCACACGTTGCCTCTGACCTACAGCAATGGCCAGAGTACTGGTGAGTGAAAGGCAAGACTGCAACACAGTTAAAGACTAACTAAAACTGCAGTTCTAGAGGTTATGTAAAATGGAGGTATTTAGGGGTAAATGGGCTAAAACCTGCATAAATACTGGTATGGTCTTTTACACAAAGTATTTTCTGCAAAACTTGCTTAATGGTCAGTAACAAAAGACTGAACAGAAAAAACATATCTTCTCATTCAGTCTTAAGGGATCATTTAAAAGCAACAAATTGCATGAGCACATTCAATAAATAAATGATGAGTATTACACTGAGTCTGTTAGAGTAATAGACTCCCAGTCTAGCATTAATATTTCTGGTTTTCATGATTTCTAAAAGCTTTTTTCTTAGTTGCTTCTGATGCAGTGTAACAAACATTTAGCATAGCGCAAGCAGTTAAAACTAAGACCTCTACAATAGCTACATTATATGGACAAAGGTATTGGGATGCCTGACCATTACACCACTAGGGACTTAAATGACATTGCATTCAAATATATGGACTTTAATGTGGAGTTGGTCCTCCCTTTGCAGCTATAACAGCTTCCACTCTTCTTGGAAGGCTTTCCACAAGTTTCTGAAGTGTTTCTATGGGAATTTGTGCCCATTCATTCTGTAAAGCATTTATGAGGTCAGGCACTGATGTTGGACGAGAAGACCTGGCTCAAAATCTCCAATCTAGTTCATCCCAAAGGTGTTTGATGTGGTTGAGGTCAGAGCTTTGTGCAGGCCAGTCAAGTTTTTCCACACCAAACTCATCCAACTACGTCTTTATGGACCTTGCTTTGTGCACTGGGGCACAAACAGTCATGCTGGAATAGAAAAGGGCCTTTCCCAAATGGTTTCGACAAAGTTGGAAGCATAGTGTCCAAAATGTCCTGGTATGCTGGAGCATTAAGATGGCCCTTCACTGGAAGTAATTGGCCCAGCCCAAACCATGAAATACAGCCGCCTTCCATTATCCCTCCTCCACCAAACTTCAGAGTTGGCACCATGCAGTCAGACAGGTAACATTCTCCTGGTATCTGCCAAACCCAGACTCACCCATCTGACTGCCAAACTGAGAAACATGATTAGTCACTCCACAGAGCATGTTTTCACTGCTCCACAGTCTAGTGCCGGTGCCTTTTACACCACTGCATCTGACACTTGGCATTGGGCTTGGTGATGTGATTCTTGTGTACAGCTGCCATAGAAACCCATTCCATGACGCTCCCGCTGCATAGTTTTGTGCAAGTGGAAAATTGGAACACTTCAGCTACGGAATCAGCAGAGCATTGGTGACCTTTATACACCATGCACCTTAGCAGTTTGACTTTATGCAGTCTTCCGCTTTGTGGCTAACTTGCTGATTTTCCTAAACATTTCCACTTTCCAGTAATATAACTTACAGTTGACTGTGGAATATCCAGCAGGGATGAAATTTGACAAACCATCTTATTGCACTGATTGCATAGGTTGCATCCTATCATAGCTCTGCACTTGAAGTCACTGAGCTCTTCAGAATGACCCATTTTGTTTCACATATGTTTGTAAATGGAGACGGCATGGCTAGGTGCTTGACTTCATACACCTGTGGCAATGGGTCTGATTGAAACACCTGAATTCAATAATTAAGAGGTGTGTCCCAATACTTTTGTCCATATAGTGTATATAAAATAAAAAGTGGAAAAGTGTTGACTGGTAGTGTACTTGGCATGTGCACAGGGAAATGTTGTTTTTCACAGACCACTGTGCAAAATAGAACAGACATTAAGAACGATGATGAAAAATCCACTAGGTTGTGATCCCTGATACCGTTATACAGTTTTCACAGTGCCTATGTCCTGTTAGAGGGTAGGCAGACTGTAACCATGCATGAATTAAATGTACATATTAAAATAAACAAATCTGTAAGGGGGATGCACAGATTAACTTCACATTCATCATGTTGTCATGGTGTCAAGAATGGTAGACTCAGGACAGGGATTTAGTGGCAAGAAAAGCAAAGCTTTACAGTAACTGCCATAATAAGAAGACAGGAGAACAGGATAACTCAGGTGGAACACAAATATACCAGGAACATGGCTGGATCAAGGAAAAATACCTCAATCAGTCAATAGGCTGGCTGGGAAACAATACACAGGTAAGTACAACACTGAACAAAAATATATGAGTGGCTAGTGGCATTTAAAGGAACTAGAGTAGGGAAGCAGGGTAGGAATTAAACATGGAAAACTGGTAAGTAGAGATGAATGCTGGGCAGTAGCAGAGAATGTTTCTTGGTCGACAGTCTGGCAGTCTGTGAATACTGGCTGCTGACTTAAATACAGAGTGGATGATTACACAGAGTAACAGTGGAGCAACTGGTAGGAGTTGGAAAGGTACCGTAGGACAAAGACACAGGCTGGGCCTAACGCCAAAGGAAAAACAAAGAGCAGAGACAGGGTAAGGATTGAGATCATGACAGGCAGAACCCGCTCCCTACGGTATACTCTACTCCAGAAAATGTAGTGCATTGCATGGAGCAGAGCTTTGGCTATTTTATAAGCTTTCCTCTAAGTGTAAAAGCCAAATTACTGTATGGATTACAAGAGTATGATGAGTATAATATTAAAAGTAGTTGGATTCACTGCCACATCAACAGGTGGACCAGCAACAACCATCAAGTGATAGGTGATATAATTGCTATTCGACACAAGGCCAAAATAGTATGGCTGAAGATCAAAGAAGCAAAAGTTGAGATATCCTGACTTTTAGTCCCTAGTATGCATCAATCTCCAAAATCATTGGACGCTACAATTCCCATAATGTTAACTGAGTATTGTTTTTTTATTAGACCCTCCTAACAGCTTGACAAAGCTGCTCCAAAGCTGCCAACCACAAGCTAAGTAGTAGTCCCCACGATAGATAAACTAATCTTCATTTTTGAAATCAAGAGTCTTCCCTTAATTTCCAGTAATACCCACAGGTCTGTTTATAATGATGATGCACTGTGATAACTGTAACTGTTGTCCTGCATGTCCACAGTGTTCGGCCCCAACATTGTCAACATTCATATCAAACATCCTCCAGAGGCTTCTGTCCAGGTCCACCAGGTGTCTCAGCTGGACAACTACCACAGCAACGGACACCAGCTGCAAGGTTCTCAGTCAAGCTCCTCTTCAAGTACCAGTTACACCTACCACCACACAGAGAACAGCCAGAAGATCCAGCACCATGGATACAATGTAGTCTATCCCAGCCAGCATGGCTACCAGGTTCCTCAGTACCAGCCTGTCACCTCCAAGAGCACTCTGGGCCGATGCTACCAGGAGACGGCAGGCAGTCAGGTACAGCATTTGATGGAACAATTCATGGCTTCCATAAGTGTAACATCTAGGAAAAGAAATACAGCCTAAAATTTGAAAGTTGGCCAATAAAAAGATTTTATATTAAGGCCAGTTACTTAATTGAAGAGGCCGCTACTCCATCCAGTCTTTGAAGATCACAGATCTGCCACAGAATCCATGTTAAACAGTTAGACATAGGCATATAAAATAACACATGAAAGCATCTTATGTGCCATGATATAAACAAAACTACCTGCATATCCTAATCAGTCATGTTACAGACATTACTTAGAGCAGGTATAGTCAAGCCAGCCTCACTGGGCGCTGCTGTCACTCACTGTGCAGTTACAGTTTCAAAAAGGCATAACTTTGTGCTAGCACAGGGATATATGTTTTGTCTATTTTTGCATTTTATGACAGTCTGATCATAACAAAAGCAGCTGTAGGTGGAGATAAATGGGCTATGAATCTTTAACAGGCTGCGTGCCTTGCAATCATTTTCTGGCGCACGATCACTTATTGTCACCACATCGAAAATGCAATGATTACAATCTATTTTATTGTATTTTTAAAAGAACAATTGAACATTTATGAAGTTACATGCAAGAAAATCATGTTGTGTAGATAAAATTTAATTTAATTAAATTTAATTTTGAGATTTTCGGGGGGTCCAAGCTGTCAGTTAGGGAATCTGAGACCACCTGCATTTCACACCCTACATGTATCCGCGTGACACCGTAGCTCACACAGACACCACACTGTGCTGCAGTAATACCTGAATATGGATCTGTGTACAAAAAACAACCTTACCCGGAGTGTGACTTCAATTGTTTTTTCATTTCTTAACTTATTGCAATAATATTTTACACCTTACAAACATTTTACATTTTACAAATTGAAATATGATTTCCCAATCAGTATTTAGAGTTATCTTTTTAGAAAATGCACTTGTTGAGCTGACAGAATTCACTTTGACAGCTACAGTATTTCTTCCTCTTTCTGGAAGAATAATATGTAACTGTAGTTCCGAAAAATGTTAAAGCTGGTAATGTGACAGGCTTAGTAAATAGCTGTGCATGCATCTGTCATGGTGCACCTCTAAGAAGACTGCCTCACATGTAACTAACCACCTCAACAGATGGCGGTCAGGTGCTGTGCTCGATACAGAGTAACACATTTTCTGACTGCAAGACTGGAAGCTTTTAGAGGCTGTGACCTCACATGTCCTATAAAAAGATTGATGTCAGTTTCATCCTAAATGCACTCAGCACAAGCAAAAGAATCCCACACAGGTTTCAGTCTAGACAGTCTAGAGCAATTGAAGTACAAAGATTAAAGTAGACTCTTAAAACTGACATGTTTGTTGTGCCCAAAAACAAAGCAACTTCTGGCTTGGTGGAGCAGATCTATTGCCTGACCAAAGATGTTGTAATTCACAATGTTGAAAAGAAATTGCAAGTTACTCTATCACCAGGTCACATTTTGCTGAGCACTTGTTATGATATACATAGATAAGCATCTGTCAGTAAGGGAGGGGCGGAGAGATCTGCATGTGTGCATCTTTTTAGCCGCGATGGGCCAATCCATATTTTTTCAGTTCCGATCCAATTCCAATACAAATTCCCATACAAGAGTTCTTTCATTTCAATAAAACAATAAACATTAATAAACAAAACATTAAATTATGCATAATGGTGGATAGGTGCAACCACTAGATGGTCAGAGGCCAAGGCCACACACACTTCTCCACACTTATTGTACATTTACAAATCTCCACTTTTGGGCTAGAAATAAACATGCAGCTTTGGTTTCGCAAGATTTCACATTTACCATTTAAAATGTAGCCGACATTAGGGCATTAATAACTTATTATGAATAGAAAATCTGTCTCCCCTGTCTTTGTATCGATGGTCCAGTAAAGTGGCAACTGATTAGAGGGGGTTGCCTTCGATGCTGCTCACATCTGAGGTCTAAATATCAGTTGTAACGCTCATGGCTTTAATACCTTCTAACTACACCGTGAGCTGTGATGACACTCGGTTGTATAGTTCGGGTATAGCAGTCTCTGTAATGTATTTTCTGGATGGCAGATTAAACCGGTGCTCTAAGTTCTCCAACAGGCTGCAAAATCCGACATTTTCTACTACAGATAGTGGTTGGCCATCGAGTTTAATGAAGTTGAGCAGCTTCTCTGTAATTCCTTTAGCCTCTGGGTTGTCTGCTGGATGTTTATGCGTCTGCAGGTGCTTTATTAATTTGGTTGTACTGTATGACGCAACTGTACTTCCACTGCTCGGCGCACTGGCTTTACACACGGTACAAGTAGCTGTTTTGCTTTGGGTGTTTCCAGACTAATGTACAGTATCTCCAAACAAATGACATTTTGTTCACTCGCTTACAGACTGAGATTGCCGTGGGTTTATGGTAAGATGTGGAATGTGGCTCATGTTAGGTTATGGAGGGTTCATGGTCCAGCACAGGCTGCGGACTGGAGTATGGATCAGTAAGTCGATCGGCCCTGTCCATCCAATATCCGATGAGTTAATGATGTCAACATCAGACCCGATACTGGTCTAGGATCAGATTGGGCCTGATGGGTGTTGTGAAAGACACCTGGGGATCAGGTATTCACAGAAACAGACAACAACAAAAATGTAATTAAAACAAATGAGTTGCCATCTTTCATCCCTTTCTTTCTCCCACTCTGTGTAATTGTCCATGTCACAGTGTGGGAAGCTTCTGCCAGGTCTCACTAAACAGGAGCAGTGCTGTAGAAGCATTGGAACATCCTGGGGTTTCAACAAATGCCACAAGTGTCCAAACAAACCGTGTAAGTACAGCTGTTTTTCTCAGATGTTGCTCAGGCATACCAACTAGACACCTGATTTATTCTTCCATTTAGAAACATCTGCACAGCCCTAAACATATGTGGCATTTTGTTTCTGTTGTCCTTATTCCATTCCTGGATACAGCTGTTGTTTTGTCAAACACCATACTTTTCGGACTATAAGCCGCTACCTTTGTCACTACATGCACACACCCTCATCATGGACAACACACGACGAAATGCATATGATGCCGCTTCAAGTTACAGGCGATCGATCTGACTGTCGAAATATCTCATGTTACAGCGTGGACACCTGCGGCTATGTACAACTTTTTTTTCGCCTTACATTTAGTGGGTGCGGCTTATAGTCCGGAAATTACTGTAAACAGCTTCTAAATGTCAGGTTCAGCATCATCCTAAATGTTAACATTTTAAACCACTTGATAACATATCAGCTTAAAGGCCTTGGCTAAATTTTTTTTCTGCATTAGCGTGAGATAAATTCACATTATTGTGAATTCCACCAGTTTCACTCATCAAAGCCCATTTCCAGGTGTTAGAGAGTCCTACTGCATACCTGGAGAAAAAAAGCTGTGTACAACCTCTTTTTTTCTCTAAGCTGTGTGACATCTGATAAATGTCCTCAAGCGTCATTGCCTCAGTCAGCATCGGTCGAGGCTGAAGAATACAAGTTTGAAAAAGAAAAAAATATCTGGGGCTGGAGAGTTAGGGAAGATGTAGCCTACTCTTCATCTCTGCTGCAGATTAGAGGCTTCGGCTACATTAGCTGCTAGTAGTATAACAAAGCCCAGTGTACAACCAAACTGTCAGGAGTAGACTTGCATTGTTGGTTATGCAGACAGTTTGTTTACAAGAAACTCCAAATGACACCTTAAAATATGTGTGTTGGGTATTTTATTAAGTCACAGATTGTGTCTCCCTGTTTCAAACTGACACCAGAAAGATACAGTATTTGGTGCCAAGGTTCATCAAAGTGATGAACAGATGAATGTGGATCTTAACTTTTATTTTATAAATTAGGTCTTTGCTGACAGGATGTGTTTTCTTAGAGTGGGTGATATAAGCAGAGCTTCAGGGAGAAGTCAGGAATGTTCAGGTTCTGCTTTAAATCACTGGAACTCTTATTTTGGAACAGTTCCACAGGTTTTTCTAATTTGTCTGTTTCTTAACAGTCTTGATGGCCTAAAGCACACAGAGAGTCTCTGCACACAGGTGTACTGCTACAACTGCTAATGCAGTGAGTGTCTCATGCAGACTTTTGCCTCAGCTAGCAAAGCACAAAATAAGATACTGAGCCAGAGCAATTAGGAAATATATGACTTTTGTGTAGGGCTGGGTATTAAAAGACAGGTGACTTTCACCCTGGGAGTTATTTCAAGAAAGGGAAAGCACTAAAATGCCTTGGTGGCCTGTGGTGCTGGCCTCTGCTTCCAGCTCCTTATAGAGAGGTGGAAACCCAGCTAAACTGAGTGTGTGGGTGTGTGCTCTATGATTGTGTGTATTCCTGTGTGGAGGGGGTTTCAGGAGGAGGTTGCTTGACTAAATGTGACTGTGCTTTTCTGGCTAGTCACTTTGTTCCACTACTTTCTCGATAGAACTATGGAGCTTCTCTTCGACATCCAAGCTATTGGCTGTACAGTAGAGTGTGAAAAGTCAGAGACAGTCTGATGTAAGAGCTATAGTACAAACCCCGAACTGAACTGAGGATGGCGATGGTTGATAGTTTAATGTGAGTAGCTTAAAAATAATGTCATAAACAGCTAAATAAGCAAGACTTCGATCTATAACCCAAAATACACATATTACTTACAGTCATAGTTTGATTGTTGTGTGTAACAGTACATTTAAGATTATTTTCTCTGAAACAAAATATTAGCATTGGCATTCCAGGTTTTTAGAAATAACCCTCTCATTGGTTTTTGCATAGAAAGTCCATACTGGTGAAACTGGAGAGCATGTTAAATATCAGTGACAATATCTTAAAACAGACATCCTCCACTCCAAACTGACCCAGCTCACTGTGCCTGCCCCCACCTGTCAGTGGATCACTGGCTTTCTGACAGACAGGAAGCAGCAGGTGAGGCTGGGGAAAACCACATCCCAGCACCCGGACAAAAAGCACAGGTGCCCCCCAGGGATGTGTGTTCTTCCCACTGCTGTTCTCACTCTATCCCTTTAATTTAATAAGGTGTATTGGTGAGTAACATCTGATTACTGAGCTTAAAAAAAACTAAGCTGAATATGTACAACTAAGGACATTCAGCATTTAATTTAACTCACTTCCAGACTGTGGGTCATTTTTGGATGACATCTTCATTTATGGTGTAGTGTTCTGACTCAAATGACACCACTCGAGGACATTTATCTGACTTCACATAGCGCCCTCTAGAGACACAAAATGCTGTTTTCACAGAAGGAGTAGTGTTTCCCAACACCTGGAGACTAACTTTGATGTGTAAAATTGATGGAGTGTCCCTTTTATTTACGATATATCTTAATTTGAAAACTTTGACTAGTTTCATAGATGATTTGATTCAGAGCAAGATGATTTTTTTTTTTATCAAAGTATACGATGCTAGCTTTTCACTCACATGCCTCACAAACACCATGAAAATGGCATTTCAGCCATTCTTTTGATATATTTCAGTGGGAGTTTCTTCAAAGCTTGAGGTTTGTCCTTTCCTCTGTTCTCCACAGGAATGGCAGGGCATGAGTGTGGGCTGTTTCCTATTTACAGTGGTGTGAAATGGCTTATTGTGAAATTGAACCACTGCTAGTATCAGTTAAACAAACATTGCCTTGTTGTTTCTTGTTGAGCAAAAATATCGATGTGCTTTCAAGAATTGGGGTACCACCTAGCTACTGGTGCCTTGGCCCACAATTACAGAAGGGCCTAATCTTCAGCCTTGCAGCAGAGATTTATACAGGTCTGACTAGTTATTATGAGCTACTGGTTGTGAAAGCAGCTCTCGACCCTTTAGCCTTCAGCCCCTTTCCTGCCTCATTTCATAATAATTTATCTTTACTCATCACTTCTTCTGTTATCTATCTGGCTCATGCTGCTGATGGATGAAGCAAAAATTTCATAGCTTCTTAAATCTATAAGTCAACTTGTCCTCTTTGGACATTATAATGGGAATTTCAGCATATTCATTTAAAATTTCCTGCCTTTTACCTAATTTCACTTCAGATATACCCTTTGTTGGTAGGTTGCTAGGTACACCAAGCTAAAACTAATGCAGTCTATTGAAGAGCCCTGCAGTAAATCCTCCCTTCATGGAGGCATTCAGACTGTTTTAGAGGTGGTGATTGTCCCAGATCAACAGAACCCCAGTTGTTGAAAGTGCCCACTTGGTAACTCTGTAGTCTGACTGCACCTTACACTCTCATCTAACCTCACATTGAAACAGCATCACGTTGAACCTGAAAACTAAAGAACATGTTTGCCTTTCTTTGTTTATTTTTGTTTTATCGTTCATTAAATGTGAAGGAAAAAAATAACGTTTGCCCTTCTGTTATTCTCTCCTGTCGTTAGTTATCCCTCTGATAGATTGTCCTCAAGGTTACAAGAGAATCAACAGTTCTTATTGCCAAGGTAAGATCTTTTCTTGTTTTTAGCCATATGGACATGTTGGTCTGTCAGTCCTCTTTGGGAAGACTGAAATAGCTCAACAGGTATTTGGTACATTGGAATGACAGTTGGTGCAGACATGCACAGTCCCCAGATGATGAATTCTATAACTGTGGTGAGTCCCTGACTTGTCCTATACTGCTTCTAGCAGGTCAGAGTTCTCACTTATTTTGTGAAATATCTCAACATCTACTTAATGGACTGACCACAGACATTGACGCTATCAAGAAGAGGACTTGGTTCAATCTACAATTTGTCTAAAACTTTGGTTTATGACCAAATACCCATACCACAACTGACAGGCCCAGGAGCATAAGCTCTATATAATGTTTCATGCTAATTTAGCAACATAACATGGTAATTGGCAGGACTAAGATAATGGTAAAGATTACACATGGTTACCATCAGCATGCTAACACTGGGCACATCATGGATGTGGTCACTATGCCTACATAAGCATGTAGCTAAGTACAGCCTCACAGAGATGCTAGCATGGCTGTACAGTTGTTTTGTACTTATGACAAGCAGAATTGCCACTAATATAGACAAAAGGGGGCCATTTTGTGTATTTACCAGCTACAACTACTGGCAAACAATGCCAATGACACACTGGCCTCAGTCAGTCAAAATAAACAGGTACTGTGCTCCAGGGGAATCCAGTGTTGATGATCATTCACCGTCCCGGAGGGGCTTTTAAAATTAAATTAAAAAATGAAAAATGAAACTGTCATGTGACATAGGAACAACATGGCTCCAATATGTCCATCTGTTGACATCTCTACAACTACTGAATGGATTATAAATAAATATCGGACAGATTTACACTACCTGGACAATGACACCCTGTGACTGTTGATTTTTTTTACTTTTTCTCTAGTGCCACTATGAGACCGAACGTTTTGGCTTGTACTAACATATTGTGTCTTGACAACCGTAAGAATAATTGCCAAGAAATTTGGTAGAGATATTCATGGTGTTCACCTGCTGAATCTGAGTGACTTTAGTGACCTCCTGACTATTCTTATACATTTTTGTGAGATTTGAAAAACGTTGACCTTAGGATGATTTATAATAGCTATGGTTATCCTTTATCTTTTCTTTTAGTATCATCATAAGGACACACTTTTTCCACTGCTTTGATTTATGACAAAATGCTTGCAAATCTAACAACATTCCATTTAACTTCAGCAGTACTTTGCTTCTATTGGCCAACCTAAACACAGATGGTACACTTGTTTATACCTGCTAAAGATGTTAACATTTTCATTATGTGCATGTTAATTTGACAACCTTTGCAGTTTGCTCCAAGCACATATGCCTTCCTAACAATGATGTAATAGTGGTTTTTATATGTATTAGTGCATATTTATTACAGTAAAAGCCTTTGATATTTAGTTATCCCCTGGAGTTTTTCCCCATATATTTTAAATGGACTATGAATATAAATTAATACCGTATGAGTATATATTTCAAATGGACAGCCTTATTCAGTCATTCTGAGTTCAATCTTTGAGGGAGATGATGCCTCTTTCATGTACCCTCAAGTCTATAATTGCCACCACATTGACAAAAAAATTACTAAGTTCTGCGATAATACAACGAACTTACTGTTCACATTAAATTCTGCTGCCCTTTCTAAGTTCTGCCCTTCCTGCTCACCTTGCATCACTGCCTGTTCTCTCCACTGATCATTCAAGAGCTTTAAAATACTGCTCATAACTTGTGTTTAGCTTGAGAGGAGAAGCTAAGATTTAGATGCTTGACTACTGACTTACTGGAACTTACTCATTCCTTTTGACAGCAACACGAAATATAGCAATTTTAAAGTAACGTTAATGTAACATCCACTTCCACTGCATAATGTTACATGAGCTTACATTAATAAATGTAGATGTACTTGCATGTTTTCGTAGGTTGCACCAGTTGTTTTGTAGTTTCCTCTTGTCTACTTGTCAGTGGATGGCAGATTAATTTGATCCATAAATGTGTTTCATCCAAGAAATGGAGATAAAATGACAGAATGTCACTAACTGGATGCTTCTTATCAACGGGAGTGCAGCAGTTTTTCCACTGGACAGTGGAGGATACTGTGTTACTAATCAGGAGCTACAGAATGTCATTCAGCAGACTTAGCTTTAAACAGGAATTTCTTCATTTGTATGTCTTTCATTGTAATGTTTAGTTTTATCGTAATTACTGATCAAAAAATGCAGTACCTGCTGTCGTAGATCTTGTGGTCAGTGGGTTCTTTTCATAGGTTTTAGTTTTGATTTTGTCGTGAAAAAATAAGTGTCAACAAACAGTTTTTATTGACAAATAAAATGACTAATGAGAAATGGTTAGAAATGTTTGACCTGCATATGGATCGGTAAAATTGTGTATGTAATGAAAGACAATTCTGGGAAACAGATTTGACCATTTTTACATTCAGGTTCATGGTGTTTTCCATTTTTTGTTGATTTACAGACGTGGACGAGTGCCAGCTACAGGGTGTATGTCCCAATGGAAACTGCGTGAACACCATGGGCAGCTACCGGTGCATGTGTAAACCTGGCTATGTCCCCAACCTGATGTTCACCACATGCATACGTAAGCCCTGCAATATAACACTTTATTGGTTTCCTTCTTTCATCCAGCAGTGCTGGGTCAAACTGAGCAGAAGTCTTGTATTGACAGATATGAATGCATTTGCATGCTGGTGTCTGATGTGCTGATTTGCTCATACAAAGTCTTTGAGTCTGATCTTTCCCACCATGTCATCCTATAACAGAAGACATGGGAAATAACAGTGAAATTATTTTTCCTTACCATCTGCTACAAAGTACAAGTAAGCCATTAAGGGCTGCCTGGAATGCTACTAAACTGAAGTGTGTTTGATGATGTGTAATTACAGTGCATGGATAAAGATAAAGGCAGTTTTTTTGTTGTTGTTGTTTAAACTGATTCCCACTGAAGCACATTTTGCAGGGCTGAACATATCCAAAATACAGTCTCATGTCTGAGAGAGGAAGAGATAGAGGAGAGACTGGGGGGGGGGCAGAGGGACGATGTAGTTGGAAAAGCTCATGTATAAGTGATCAATCTTGAATAAGATTAATAGCTGTGTTGATCGTAAACTTTCCTTACTGTTGATGTTCTGTAAGCATCTGGCTTGGCAGATTACACGTGTTTGTCTGTGTACTGTACATTTGTTAAGTGTAAAGGGGTCTCATGGATATTGGGAGCATTTGTTCATCTCCAAAACTGAACCCTAGGGTTCACCAGAGAAGACCTGAACTATTCATTACTGTAACAGCTGTGGAACAGACACACTACAAGCACATAACCCACCTGTGGAAAACACCATGATTTACTTGTATCTCAATTCCTTTGTGCTGTATCTTGACATTCTCTCAGGCAAAATGTAGCCTAAGATGATTCCAGCTGAAGTTGATGTAAAACAAATCATGAATGATGGACATGTCTGTGCTCCAGCACAGACACACTACTAACATATTCTCAGGCATCCAGGTCGTAGTGTGCTGAAAAAAATTAGAAGAAGGCATCTGGACGTAGTTTTAGGTACAAGATGTTTCACCTTTCATCCAAGAGGCTTCATCAGTTCGGTCCAACTGGTGGTGAGCAGGAGGTATTTATCCCACTGGGTGGTGTTTCAGTCCTTCGACTGCCAACAGTGTCCCCCAACGACTGAGTTGTTAGTCGTTACCTGTCTTTGAACCCTCACGTGTGGACCGACGCCTGTTGTCCTGGTGTAAATTAGGGTGGGAATGTTTGGGTAGAGTTTTCAAAACAGAGTTGTAGATGGATGACAAGTTGTGCCTGAGTCCACCAGCCCTATTTAGAGAGGGGTTTTCAATTTGGACAAAAAGTGCTTCTTTTACTCCTCTCTCATCCAGCGATGTTCTCTGGAGAGTATCTGGACTTCACTGTCCTCAAAAGAATGGCTTTTGTCCTTCAGGTGAAGGTGGACTGCTCACTCTGGTGCACTGGGGTTGACCCTCCTGTGTTGGGCCATGCACTTGTGCAACAGCTGTTTTGTTTCCTCATTGTACAGGTCTAAAACTAGTTTTAGCACTGTAAGGATGTTTTGATGCTAATACTTTTACTTAACTAACATTTTGAATGTAGGACTTTTACTTGGCACTTCCTCTCTGTGCCTGTATGGGTTCTCTCAAGGTACTCCGGCTTCCTTCCATGGTCCACAGTTACAGGTGTCTGTATAATTTTGTCCTGCCCATTGACATACACGAGAGGGTCAGAATATTAGGAACACCTCTAAATATAATGTAGTCCAGTACAACACCACTTTCTACTATGACCTCAATAATGAACATACTGTATAACTGAATTTATACATTTATGACAATCTCACCAAAAACTGAAACATTTTGAGCTTCATAAACACAAATGTTAAGGCAGAAGTGTTGCACTGAAGTGCATACAGATGTACATACAGGTGGTCATAATGTTATCAGTGTATTTCAAGCAGACCCTCGTCCTCCACAATGTCATAATCACAGAATGTGAGTGTGTTGATTGCACATTAAAAAAAATTGTAGCATTAAAAGGAATTAGCGTTAACGCATTATTATCACATTAACTTTAACAGCTGTAGTTTAATGATATGTCATCCCACACATGTAAAGGCAAAAGTGTGCATAAGTTATCCCAGTGGCCACACTCAGGCAGGGTGATGAGTCAGCTGTCAGAATGTCCTTCTGTGTCTCCTGTCTTTCTCAAAGTGTTCTGGATCATTTTTTATATCTTTGTTGTCCAACACAATAAATGGTATAAAACTGGGATATTTTGAACACACTGGGGGACATTCTCTGCCAGAAGGCATTAATGGTGTAGCACTTTGTTGTACCTACAGTGTCTGACAGAAGTACTTGTCTGAAGAGACCTGTACAAAAAGATGGCGCTGTCGATGGCAGCCTTGGTTACCCGCGCTCTCTTGTGTTAGTTGTTTTTTTTTGTTTTCTCAGTTTTTTGCAACCCATCCCAGATTACTTTTACCAGAGAAGAACTGTTAAATATTGGACACCTCACACCGAACTACCTTTCTCCAATTTTTGCAAACAAAGAATGCTGTATGGACATTCTGATCAGAGGCGCAGCTGGAATCTATGGGATCTGGAAGAAATGCCGGCATGGCAAACGAGTGGGCGCCTTAGTGAGGCTACGCCAGAGAGGGACCCGGACTCCACTCCCGTCAATCCACCTAGCAAATCTCCGCTCCCTAGTCAACAAGATGGATGAAATTCTTCTCATCAACAGGACTAACTCTGACTTTGAGAGTCAGAGTGCGCTCTGCTGCTTTATGCTTCACAGAGAGTTGGCTCAGTGATTCCATCGCGGACAGCGCGATACAAATACCGGGCTTCCAGGTATACAGAGTGGATCGTGTAACGGAGCTGTCCGGGAAAATGAGAGGACGGGGAATCTGTCTCTATATAAATGAAGGTTGGTGCACAGATGTCACAGTGCTACAGAGGACATCTAACACGGACTTAGAGACTCTTGTTATCAATTGCAAACCTTATTATTCTCCTCGTGAATTCAACAGTTTCATGCTAATGGGAGTGTACATAACACCGCAGGCTAACGCTAGCGCACTACGGCTCCTAGCAGAACTGATAACTAGCCTGGAGCTAGAACATCCCGACTCTCCACTCATTGTTCTAGGGGACTTTAACAGAGCAAATCTCACCCACGAACTGCCAAAATACAGACAGCACGTCACCTGTCCCACCAGGGACAAAGTCACACTGGACCACTGCTACACAACAATAAAAGACGCCTATCACTCTGTCCCCCACATGAGAAGTACCAGAAATAGTTGAATGACAAATGATAAAAGAGAGCTGGAGGCCGGAGAGGGAAGTAGTGCCCAGCTCCACACTCACCTCTGCACACGTATTATTTTTAAATGATCAGAAATACTATATTGTTTATAATATGGCCAGTATGAATTCCTATATATTTTATTTTATTTATTCTGGAGCACTCACCAGATGTACAATTTTTTATTACATCACTTTGGATGGAGCAGTGACCAGAGATGCTAATGGGTTTATTTCATCCAAGGTTATACGCTGCTGTGGGTGACATAGTTTAAAATGAAAGGCACTTGAAATGTTCCAGAGCTTGCTGGAACTTAACCTGCCTGTGATATTGTGTCAGAGAACATGTACTACAGAATATGCGTCATTGTTAACCAGCCCAAGTGCCTACGTAAACACCTGAGCAGCTGCTGGCCGTGCACACCTCTGCATCCAACACCATCATCCACTCCAAACTGACCCAGCTCACTATGCCTGCCCCCACCTGTCAGCTTTCTGACAGACAGGAAGCAGCGGGTGGGGCTGGGGAAAAGCTCCTAAAGTTTGCTGATGATACAACGGTCATTGGTCTCATCTAAGATGGTGATGAGTCAGTCTACAGACAGGAGGTTGAGCAGCTGGTCCTGTGGTGTAGCCGCAACAACCTGGAGCTGAACACGCTCAAAACAGTGGAGATGACAGTGTACTTCAGGAAGAACCCCCCCCACCTTACCCCCCCTCCTCATACTTGGCAGCACTGTATCAGCAGTAAAGTCTTCCAAGTTCCTGGGCTCCACTGTCTCCCAGGACCTGAAGT